ATTCAAATATTAAAATCTCTTAAAAACCGAAATCGAATTATCAAGAGAAGCCATTCATCAAATACCCCAAAGTTTGATGTTTATTTCCCGAATCCAATAACATATGTGATAACAGGCCAAACAGGCAAATGATCGTCAAGTTATTTGCAAGACTAATTGGATTATCTGCCTTTATCTAGCCAGGAGGTTATTTGAAACTGTGTAGGCAGTTACATGAAATTATTCTTGAATGACTCGACATTTTTCTTACGATAAGTTCCCGAGTACACAAGATGATAAAACTGGTTAACAGATCCTTACTCTAAAAACATTAATATTTCAATCAGTTCCAGTATATGAGCAGGAATATTGTCTGCTAATATCTAATAGGAAATATTTAATTGTAATGTACGTTAAGACACAATAATCGACTTAGTGGATTAAAGGGTGTCTGACACAAAGTCAACTACCTAGACCATCAAATATATATATATATATATATATATATATATATATATATATATATATATATATATATATATATATATCATAAATGTTAATTACAAGATTGCTTATTCCTAAATTTTCGCTTGAGAATGAAACGGGACCCAACACTTTGATTCAACTTATTTTTAATAATTATATTGATGGTTTCGTCTCTCGTTTTTGAAACATGAGAACTCTTATGTAGCGAAGAAATCATATTTTTAAAAAATATTATAATACACACACACACACACACACACACATATATATATATATATATATATATATATATATATATATATATATATATTACAATGAATCATTGATACAAAAGGTCAATTATAAAGTTAATGATATAAAATGGTGAAATCACTTCCCTATCAAAATTTTAAAGTTGCATTAACCTACCAATCACTCAATGAAGGTTATGATCCATTTTTTTCAAATTATAAATTTATATATAAATGTATATATTTAAAATACATACATATATACCCAAGCATAGGATTGGTGTATAAGGAATAAATTCCAATAACCAAAAAATACTACTCTTAAAAGAGTGCTCAGTGCCAAGTAGAACAAATATATGGTGTGTTATCAACTGATGGCGTTCAACGTCATCACTTGATAAGACACAAGAAGTCTTGAAACAAAATGGCTTTTTTGTAGTGATTTTATAATATATGTTATAATTTTCGAATAAATAATTATATATATATATATATATATATATATATATATATATATATATATATATATATAGGCATGTTATTTAGGCGTTAGCTTGTGAAAGGTTATACATATCCCTCGTTTGTAATATTTGTAATTTTGCAAAAATGCAATTTATATTTTCTGCGTCAGTAATCTAGGACATTTTAAATTTTTTAACCACAAGCAAAGCGATAAAACCACTAAGATGCAAGTGTTTACTAGGATTGAAACTAAAATTAGAAAACGTTAATATGGAGAAAGGATGATAAAAGAACAAGATTGAAGAAGACAGAAGATGCTGATTTGCATTGCCTATATAGCAGCGAATATTGGACGGTATCTTCAAGGATGAAGAAGAGACTCGAAGCGGCGGAGATTTGGTTCTACAGAAGGATGCTGAGGATATCATGGACCGAGCATGTTAGCAACTATGAGGTCTTGGAGAGGATGCAAACAAAGGAGGAAGCTTATGCTTAACATAAGGAAGAGGCAGATGAAATTTCTGGGACACGTGATGTGAAAAATAAAACAGATAAAAAGATGTATAAGACAAGGATATACCTTCTCACCGGACTTATTCAACCTATACAGCCAGACGATACGGAGTGAAGTAGCCGGATTCATTATTTGTGGCCACAGTGTTAACAACATCCTCTTTCTTTTTTTAACCCGTCCATATTTTGCTCTTTTATTAATCCTTCTTATTCTCAGTTTTCTCTTTCATTTTCCCTCCTTTAAATCCCCTGTGTACTAGTGGCATTCCTGCCTTGCTTAGGGTAAAAGGATTGAAAAAAAAACATAAAACATGCAGATGACACAGTGTTGATAGCAGACACGGAAAGGAAACAGCAAGAACTCTTACAGAAGGCAGTGAAGGAATACGAGAAGAGAGGACTGAACGTTAAATTCAAAAAGACAGAATGAATGGATGTTAGCAAAAAGAAACATCCGCACATACAAATTGGAAATTCGAGATACTAAAAAAATTACAAAAATTTAAATATCTAGGGAACTTTTTAAACAGAGGACAGAAGTGCAACACCGAAATCCGAAGGTGGATTGCGATAGCGAAAGATGCCTTCCAAATGCTAAGCAAAGTATTAAGATCCTGAAAAAAAAAACTTCGTTAGAAACAAAGAAAACACTAGTGAACTCTTGCGTAATATCATTTCTCCTATATAGAAGTGAATGCTGAGCGTTTTCTTCGCAAATGATAAAGAGACTTGAAACAACAGAAATGTGGTTCTACAGTAGGATACTGAGGATGCCATGGACTGAAAATGAGAGCAATGACAAAATTTTAGAGAAAATGGAAAAAGGGCACCTTTCATCAGAAAGAGACAGTTACGTGGAATCTGTCCTCTCTTATGGCAGTGAATATTGAACAATCTCTTCAAAGCAAAAGAAGGGACTTGAATCAACAGAAATGCACTTCTACAAAAGGATGATAGAAATACCATAGACAGACTATGGGAGTTACGACGAAGTTTTAGAGAAAATGGGAAAAAAAGAAACTTACACTTAACATCAGAAACAGAATGTTTAAATGTCTAGGGCATCTAATGAGGAAAGAGGGCTTGGAAAATCTGATACTCGCAGGTCACATTGACAGCAAGAAGGACAGAGGAATAAACAATGCATAACCTACCTAGCCAGCTTGAGTAAATGGATGGCTGAACAACGTTTAGAAGAGATATCAAAATATAGGAGAATCGAAATTGAAAATGGAATAAACTGCGTGGTGGCTATTTTTTTTTCAACAAACAAGATGCTGTACCGCCAAAACTTTAACCCAAGAACAGGAGTCTTGTTCTTAAATATCATGTCGTCAAACACGTTCTGGGATATCAAAACTACCAACTATATACAATGGTTTTTACAGATCAGTGATTGTGAATAGCTTTAAGCGAGTGGGCCTTTAAAAGGATTTTCCTTCGTCCTGATCTCATAGACTGGGGCTACAGAATCAAAAAAAACTTAAGGACTTGCAACAGCAGCAACAACTAAAATGGCTAGCACATGTAATTCAAAGAGAAAAAAATGATATCATTTTTCTTTTTACTATGTGCCGCGTCCCTTCAGGACATGGGCGACCATGGCTCTCCAAAAGTTACTTGCCCTTGTAGATCTAGCATTTTTTTCTCTCGTTAAGAAGTAGTGATTGTCTCCTGCCAATACCTCATGAATAATGGATTGTCTCCTTTTCATCGAATGGATAGACGGAAAAGAAATATCAGAGACGCTACTTGGTTTCATTGAGAATTTGAAAGAAAGAAAGAAAGAAAAATAGAAGTGTTTAACGTCTCCTGCCAATGCCTCATAAATAGATTATTCCGTTTTGATCGCAGGGAAAGACAAAAAAGGCATATCAGAGACGCTACTTGGTTTCATTGAGGAGTTGAAAGAAAGAAAGAAAGAAAGAAAGAAAGATAGATAGAAGTGTTTAACGTCTCCTGCCAATACCTCATAAATAGATTATTCCGTTTTGATCGCAGGGAAAGACGAAAAAGGCATATCAGAGACGCTACTTGGTTTCATTGAGGAGTTGAAAGAAAGAAAAAAGAAAGAAAGAGTGAAAGAAAGAAAGAAAGAAAGAAGAAAGAAAGATAGAAGTGTTTAACGTCTCCTGCCAATACCTCATAAATGGATTATTCCGTTTTCATCGCATGGAAAGACGAAAAAGATATATCAGAGACGCTACTTGGTTTCATCGAGAAGTTGAAAGAAAGAAAGAAAGAAAGAAAGAATGAAAGAAAGAAAGAAAGAAATTGACATTCACCGGATACATCCTAGGCGAGAGGAACAAGTGGAATCAGTGAGACATTCACCTAAAGATCTTGTGTAAAGCATAACAGAACAAACAATGAGTAGCTATAGTAAAACGACAACCACTTCTAAGAACGTTAAAGATTAAGAAGTTCCGAGGTACAATGATCACTAACGTCAGTGACTGACACGGCACATAGCAGACTAAGAATTATTTGATTGAGGAAGAGAAGTCTGCAGGCTAGGAGGAAACTTATAAAATAAATAAACTCGATATACGAATCTGAATTTATTCGAGAGAATAGCAACATTATTTAAATCGTCTGCCGTCTACAAAGTGAGAACGAGATTGGAAATAACACCAGGTTAGTAAAATTCTCTATCGTTCGAAACCTCCGATTTCTAACCCAAGGAAAAATATGTCAACTTCAGTTATTTATTATGAAAACAGAAGACATCGGACATAAATTGATTCGCTTCTTTGTTGACCTCCGCCCAGCGCTGAAAGTTTGGACACATAAAAACCAGAATGAAAGTTGCGCAAAATAGCGAACAAACAATTGATGCCATGACATTTCTTGACTTCCGCTGTGGCATGAGAACGAAATTTACTCTTCCTTTGATTTCTTTTAGTTGACCGCTTTGAAATTATTGTCTTTGCTGTCCAAAAGTGACCACGAAGAATGCAGAAGATGATTTACGCCAAATTTCGCTTCGAATAGGAATTACATGCTTTTCACTTTCGTCATTCGTTGTTTCCGTAAATTGGGTGGAAAGTGTCCGAATATGCTTTTGGTAGTTTGCGAGAATATTTCGTTAAGTGAATCCCAAACCCAAAATACTGTTCAGAAATGAAGAGAAAGAAAAGAATGAGGAAGGAAAGAATGAGATAGAAGGAAAGAACGCAGAGAAATTAACCGGAAGCGAGGAAAGAGATGAAGAAAAGAGGGAATAAAATAAGGGAAAAGTGGAAGAGGATTTGAAATCTCGTGATAAGGTTGATTAAATGTCGAAAGAAAGGACCACTTTACACTCCGTTGGTTTAAGAGGAGGAACCGTTAAAGATCTGGTAAGATGGAATTTGGGGGGAAAGGATTTAGATTGGTTGCTGAAGGAATTAAATTTATTGAAGAAAGAAAGAAAGAAAGAAAGAAAGAAGGAAAGAAAGAAAGAAAGATTAATAATGGACAGTTAGAATTAAAAGGACGAGTAGAGACAGGAAAAAAATGACTGGAAGAAAAAAAGAATGAAAAAATGTACAAAAAAGAAAAATAAATATGAAGAACGTAGCTGAAACGAAAAGGATAAAATGTACAAGCGAAAGAAAGACATGCATGAGAGAAAGAAAAATACAAGAAAGAAAGAAAGAAAGAAATACATGAAGAAAGAAAGAAAGAAAGAAAGAAAGAAAGAAAGAAGGAAAGAAAGAAAGAAAGAAAGAAAGGAAAAAGGCTATGAGAGAAAGAAAAATACATGAAATAAAGAAAAAAGATATGTAAGGAAAAATACATGCAATAAAGAAAGAAAGAAAGAAAGAAAGAAAGAAAGAAAGAATAATACATAAAAGAAAGAAAGGCATACATTAAAGAATGAATGAAAGAATAAAAGAAAAACATGTAAGAAAGAAAGAAAAAAAGAAAGAAAGAAAGAAAGACGTACATGCGAGAAAAATACGTAAAAGAAAGAAAGAATGACATACATGTAAGAAAGAAAGAAAGAAAGAAAGAAAGAAAGAAAGAAAGAAAGAAAAGAAAGACATACGTGTCAGAAAGAAAGAAAGACATACGTGTCAGAAAGAAAGAAAGAAAGAAAGAAAGAAAGAAAGAAAGAAAGAAAGAAAGAAAGAAAGAATGAAAGGACGGAAGCATGGAAGGAAGAATGAATGAATGAATGAATAAAAGAAATAAATATATTAAGACAAAAAATGACAAACAAAGAAGGAAAGAACGAATGAAAGTAAGCTAGAAAGGGAGGAAGGGTCAAAGAAAGAAAGAGGTAAAGAAAGAAAAGCTATTGAAAGAAAGAAAGAAAGAAAGAAAGAAAGAAAGAAAGAAAGAAAGAAAGAAAGACAGGAAATAAGGAAAAAGCGAACGAAGGATGAAAACGACGAAGAAAGAAGAAAAGAAACATTTGAATGAAAGAAAGAAAGAAAGAAAGAAAGAAAGAAAGACAGCAAAGGCGATTAAAAAAAGATTTTAAAAGAAAGAAAGAAAGAAAGAAAGAAAGACAGCAAAGGCTATTAAAAGAAAGATATTAAAAGAAAGAAAGTAAGAAAGAAAGAAAGGAAGGAAGACAGCAAAGGCTATGAAAAGAAAGATATTAAAAGAAAGAAAGTAAGAAAGAAAGAAAGTAAGGAAGACAGCAAAGGCTATGAAAAGAAAGATATTAAAAGAAAGAAAGTAAGAAAGAAAGAAAGGAAGGAAGACAGCAAAGGCTATGAAAAGAAAGATTTTAAAAGAAAGAAAGAAAGAAAGAAAGAAAGACAGCAAAGGCTATTAAAAGAAAGATTTTAAAAGAAAGAAAGAAAGAAAGAAAGAAAGAAAGAAAGAAAGAAAGAAAGATAGAAAGAAAGCAAAGGCTATTAAAAGAAAGATTTTCAAAGAAAGAAAGAAAGTCAGGAAATAAGGAAAATGAGAACGAAGGATGAAAACGACGAAGAAAGAAGAAAAGAAAGATTTGAATGAATGAAAGAAAGAAAGAAAGATGAAAGAAAGAAAGAAAGAAAGACAGCAACGGCTATTAAAAGAAGGATTTTAAAAGAAAGAAAGAAAGAAAGAAATAAAGAAAGACATACGTAAGAAAGAAAGAAAGAAAGAAAGAAAGAAAGAAAGAAAGAAAGATGTACATGAGAGAAAAATACATAAAAGAAAGAAAGAATGACATACATGTAAGAAAGAAAGAAAGAAAGAAAGAAAGAAAGAAAGAATGAATGAAAGACATACGTGTAAGAAAGAAAGAAAGAATGAAAGAAAGAAAGAAGGAAAAGAAGACATGAGATAAAGAAAAATACATAAAAAAAAGAAAAACTTGTAAGAAAGAAAGAAATCTCAATAAATTAATTAATGATTGGGATTAAAAAAAAACATAATCATGAATGAATAAAAATCAAAGAAAAATGTACGAAGAAGGAAACATGAATGAGATAATGAAAAAAAAACATGAAAATATTGTGAAAAAAGAGAGAAAAGGAATAAATGAATGATTAAAACTATTGAACCTTCGAAAGAATGAATGAAATGATTAATTGAAAAGGCGAAAATAAAATGTTTATCATAATTTTTAATGGAAAGCAAGTTAAAAAGTTCAGAGAAAAGATGAAAGATAATTGTCAAAGAAATAAAGAATAAAAAGAAAGAAAGCGAGGAAACAAGGAAAAAAAGAAAGAGAGATGGAAGCATGGAAGGAAGAAAGAATGAATGAATAAAAGAAAGAAAAATATTAAGACAAAAAATGACAAACAAAGAAGGAAAGAAAGAACGAATGAAAGTAAGCTAGAAAGGGAGGAAGGGTCAAAGAAAGAAAGATAAAGAAAGAGGTAAAGAAAGAAAAGCTATTAAAAGAAAGAAAGAAAGAAAGAAGGAAAGAAAGAAAGAAAGAAAGAAAGAAAGCCAGGAATTAAAGAAAAAGAGAACGAAGGATGAAAACGACGAAGAAAGAAGAAAAGAAAGATTTTAATGAATGAAAGAAAGAAAGAAAGAAAGAAAGAAAGAAAGAAAGACAGCAAAGGCTATTAAAAGAAGGATTTTAAAAGAAAGAAAGAAAGAAAGAAAGCCAGGAAATAAGGAAAAAGAGAACGAAGGATGAAAACGACGAAGAAAGAAGAAAAGAAAGATTTGAATGAATGAAAGAAAGAAAGAAAGAAAGAAAGAAAGAAAGACAGCAAAGGCTATTAAAAGAAGGATTTTAAAAGAAAGAAAGAAAGAAAGAAAGAAAGAAAGAAAGAAAGAAAGAAAGCCAGGAAATAAGGAAAAAGAGAACGAAGGATGAAAACGACGAAGAAAGAAGAAAAGAAAGATTTGAATGAATGAAAGAAAGAAAGAAAGAAAGACAGCAAAGGCTATTAAAAGAAGGATTTTAAAAGAAAGAAAGAAAGAAAAAAGCCAGGAAACAAGGAAGAAGAGAACGAAGGATGAAAGCTTCAAAGAAAGAACGAAAGATTTGAATGAATGAATGAAAGATATTAAAAGAAAAGACGACAAAGAAAGAAAGAAAACTAGAAAGGAAAGAAACGTCAAAGAAAGAAAGAAAGAAAGAAAGAAAGAAAGAAAGAAAGAACCAAAACGAACAGAATAGAAACGCATAAAAGAAAAGACGAGGTAGAAAGAAAGAAAATTTATTTCTTCAACTTAAGCATTTCGTATGTTACAACATTTTACAAGTACAGAAATGTATATGTCTGCGAATGGAATTTAAACCTGCCTGGCGGAAATCACACAACGATTCATCTTTCTTGCTTTACGCTTTGTTTACCGTCAAAGAAAAATCGTCACCTTTTGAACAACCTAGTAAATGCTGGTTTGGTTGATAAGTAAGCAGATAGAAAAATAACAACGCCAATGAAATAAAAACAAAAGAAAAGGTTAAATAACAACGTTATTTGCATCTTTCGACCGAGTGATGTAACGAAAGATTAAATGAATCGTCAACTCCTTGCTTGCCAGAGAAAATTTAATTTAATTAAACTAATTTAACTGTTAATTGACAAGTTGCGATTCAGTTGAGGTAAACAGCTTGAAGCAGTTAGCCGTGTGCTTGCAAACAGGTTCCGCGTGTCGTGGAAGACTGAAGCAAATTGGGTGGAGACGTACATATAGGGGGTGAATTAATCGAAAATATCTTTTGGATTGCGAGTCTGATTGGACGTTATTTACGAGAAATCCTTATTATTATATATTAATGCGTATCAAAGATATTTCCGTTTTTTTTTTTTTCGCAGATATATATCTGTTGCAGACACTAACCAATTGCTGGGTTTACTGCGAGGAAAGTTAGTTCACTGTGATATGCCAGACGTTTCTTCTCGTCCGAATCCATTTTGCACATTCATGAATCTAAGATCCATCCGTACATTGAATATATGTTGCACTGAATAGGTCCGTGCATTGAATATATCTTGAGATTCTTAGCAAAATTCAAAGAAAGGTGTGTAATGTAATTGATCCTGTCCTGTCATTTCAGTCACTATCCCGCCATCGTTACGTGGCTTCATTCAGTCTTTTCTATAAATATTTTTATGGCAATTGTTCAGATGAAATTTCCTGATTGGTGCTTTGGCTGCATAAATTCGCAGACACATCTTCCGAGTAAGTGACCTCATAGACGAAAATATGACTAAGGACTGTGTATACGACATCCCGTGCAGCTGTGCTAAGAAATATAAAGGAGAAACAGGACCCTTAAAGGTAAGACTGAAAGGACATCATAGAGCCGTAACACGAGGGGAAACAGAAAAATCAGGCGTAGCTGACAACATATGAAAGGAAAAAGGAGATCAGCGCCCTCTGGGGTATGAGGTTGAAAAAATAGAGAACATCACTGGGAAATACAGAAACTTTAGGAATCAGCATATATTTTAGGCCACAAAAATTTCCTAAGCCGGCCAAGTATAGAAATGAATAGAATGTGGAAACCAGTAATACGGAATGCTAAAGAAAAGCAATAATAACAAAAAAAAATTACAATATAAGCGCTGGTAAAAAATGAATACTGAAACATTGTTTATAAGTCCCCCAAATTCATGAACTCAAGGGTACATGACCAAGTGAATAAAAGCGTTGGCTGGATCTAGGGACTTGACGCAAAGAGTTGTGACTTCACTACCAGGCTACTGCAGCGGTGAACAAAATTTGGAGAGTTGAGTTAAAGTGAGATAACTGAGACATCCGGAAGAGGCATGGCACGTGGAAACAGAACAATCTACGAAAATTCGAAATTCCAATCACCTGAAAAAATCACCGGGATGTACATGAATAATACAATAAAGATGAGGAACAACAGTCCGAAGAAATAAATGTAAATAATTGCAATACCTTATCTCAGAAATACAGACAGATAGATTTTAAACGTATTGCAACATTGGGAACTACGTTGCAGCGTTTTATTGTTGATTTAACTAAAGTAAGTTCTATCCTAATATATTCTTCTCTCGGGTTTCAGGCCAGTGGAACTTCCTTCCAGTTTCTTGCTTCCCTACCGCAATCTTCATAAATTTAAATGAAAAGCCAATCGCTATCTTCTGTCTTTCTGAATCTTGTGTTTTTCCTTCACTCCCAGTAACCTGCTGTGTCTTAGTCACATTATCGCCTTGCTACACTCCCTGACTGAGTCAGAAGCGTAGTGGGAAGGAGAAAAAGAAACAATTTGCCAATTAGGAATTATGAGTACTTAAAAAGAAATAAGGGGGAAGAAAACACACCATGTGACGAACGCATGAGTAAAGGTTTTTTTTTTCTTTTTCTCATATTCGTCTTAGCGCCTTTATTGCCTTACTTGAGGTGAAATTGTTAAAGAAATCGGCAATAATAATAATCTACAACACTAGCTTGCCAACTGCTGCTCCACGGCGATGCGCCTGAAAATCTATATATATATAGATGCTTAATAAAAATACTAGTAAATTGATAGGATTACGTATCCGTAGTCTTAAATAATTATTTTCTTCTTTTAGATTCGTTTCTGTGGGTTGAAAGCTGACTTTTTTTTCCCTCGGCGTACACCAACCTGAAACTTCATCTATAAACCAATAATGGCTCCGACTTGCAGTAAGACTCCAAGACTCCGTCTTCTCCCCAAGGCCGACGTGCAGAACCTTTTCCAATTTATTATTCTGTGTGTTCTCCAAGCAAGAACTCAACAACATCTGACTGCCGTTCTCTGTTAACCCAAATATGTCAAGTTATTTATTGGTCCAAGTCAACATCGGCGCACGACCATAATCAGAGAGTACCCAATGGATATGCATTTACTACGTTTGGAATAATGACTGGAAAATGTAAAAGATGTTTCACTGAACGCTTTAGTCATTGCTTATAATACAGAAAATCTGCGACAAATAAATAGTATTCTTGCAGCATTCCAATGATTTCTTTCCTAACAACCTAATATATATATATATATATATATATATATATATATATATATATATATATATATATATATATATATATATATTTTCAATTATAGGTGTAATTATAATTTATAAATTCATTCATAAAAAAAAATAAATTCATAAAAAATATCAATAAGATACATATACAGGTTCGGGGTTGGTGTATCTTATTGATATTGTTGGCGAAGATGTATTCTCGCCATTTAAATAATCAACCTCTATATTTGTTTTTGTATGAATGATTCATGAATTTATATATATATATATATATATATATATATATATATATATATATATATATATATGTGTGTGTGTGTTTGTGTGGGTGGATTTAGGCAGTATAACTTATTCAAAGATGTCGCATTAAATAATATAGACAAATTATGTCTAATTATTTTTACGATAAACCATTCTATTTCTCTAATTATCTTCTTGGCGTTAAGTTAAAATTCATTAAAGATGTCGGGGCGTATGAGTGATAAATATGGCGACAAATATGAGGGAAATAGTCCGAATAATATAAATAGTGTACATAATACCTCATCTCAGAAATATAGACAGATACTGATATTTCCAATGTTTTCAGTTTGAAACCCGAAGGGAAAATTTGTTGTTTATAAACATTAATTCGGATGCTTCTTTGTAACTGAATAGTTAACAGCACATGAGATCAAATGATGATCACTTTTGAGGTTACAGGTTCGATTCCTGTCCGAGTAGCACATATTTTCTACGAAATTTCAGGAACATCCAGGCCGTAATACTGCTTAATTAAAAAGAGAAAAAAAAAGATTTGCATAAATAAATAACGGAAAATATATTAAAATAATTGTCGGACTTTTCAAAAGACACACACACACACGCACACACATTCACAGACAGATATACACACACACACACATATATATATATATATGTGTGTGTGTGTGTGTGTGTGTGTGTGTGTGTGTTTGTGTGTGTGTGTAAATATAAAAGTGAATCAGTTGGCCTGTGGATTGCATCTAGCATGAAACACTGTCGCCTCTAAATGTTGACTTTTATGTTCACTTTTATATTTACACACGCTATATCTCTGATATTGAACACCTTATCACATAAATGTAGCACATCTTAAGAGTATATTTCTTCATATATATATATATATATATATATACCACTATTATTACTAAAGAAACACCAAATATTTTGGTGTGAGTAGCAGATAACATGATAGAAAGCCTTAGAAAAAAAATCCCAAACAAGAAAAGAAAAAAAGAAAGAAATACCAAAAGGCAAACACCTACCTACTCAGTAAAGAATATCAGTTATCTCCACCGCCTTAACCAGGTATTGAACTCACACTGTTTGGATCCTGTCACTGGATCTCACTAACGTCTTTATCCACTCAATATCAGCTCTGGTAAAAAAAAAAAATGCAATAATAACAGCAAAAATTGCTATATGAGCGTTTGCTCAGTAAAGTATTCAGCGCTCAGATTACTTAGACAGAGCAAAAAACTCTTTACGACGTCAACACTTAACAAAGGACAGCCCGAGTCTTTTTTCGAATTTCACGTTCTCGCAATCTTCAGACGGCTCCGACGCAACGAGGAGATGGAGTGAAGAAAATTTCTCTACTCACAAAAGGGGGTACAGTGTAACCCGGATATAAGAGAGTTGTCAGGACCGGAGAAGAAGTCGCTTATATCCGGGTTTCTCTTATATCCGGGTTTGGTCTATTTTATATACATTAGCACAGGCTCTAATTTGAGACCAGAGAAAATCTCTCTTATATCCGGGTTTCTCTTATATCCGGGTCTCTTATATCCGGGTTACACTGTATTAAAAAGATGTTTCTGAGGCTTGATCAGAATTCGGAAAGTGGGTCAGGCGGTGAACTTTTTCTGCACACAGACACACACACAAAAATATATATATATATATATATATATATATATATATATATATATATAAAACTCTCTCTCTCTCTCTATATATATCTATATATATATATATATATATATATATATGAATCAGTGACGACTTATATATCTAATTACTGAGAGAAAGCCGCTGACCTTGCACAGTCCAATAAAAAGCAACAAAATCTAATTATTTCGAAGGTTACTTTAAATGTCGATGACTGATCGCTCGATTGGCAGGCCTAAATTAATGAAGTTAATTTAATTATCTTTGTTCACTAATGGCCGAGAA